AGTTTACATGTTTTGCTAATAGCTAATACACAATGCAGTTAGTTTGAATAAACGTGCAGAATGCTTAATAACTGCTTTTATGCTAATTAAAAAGTTACACGTGTCTTATGATATTCGTGTCTCGGATTGTGTGAGGTATATCGATATTGACGTATTATTACATATTTGGATCATAAGATCAGTCATTCAAAAAAGCGCTTAAAGCGCGGGAGTCATCACTTGCACATGCGTCAGATGGCCATTGCGTGTCATTGTTTGCAAACAAGCGTCTACCCATGAGCCTTTGCGTTTTCAGTGTGTGTTGTTATCGTCGCTTGGGACTCAATTCCCGCGCGTGCGCAGGTGACGACCCCAGCCTCCCGCTTTAAAAATACAATCGTGCCTGTGACATGTTTAACAGAAAAAACAAGAGGATATGGTTTTGATCTGGAGCTTTCAATCGGCAATGAATGCATGGCAAAAAAGGCGTGTAACTGTGTTCAGTTGCTGCTGTCTTTGCCATCAGTATGAACGCTAACATGTAGCTAGGATATAACTTATTTACCTTGCCCCTAGAATAGATGAAGTGAAATGTATATGAGAGGAAAATGTCTGTTCTAGTCTTGTCGTTGTCGTCGTTGATGTTGCTTGCCATCTTGAAAACTCAATCATTCGATCCATTCCAACCTCGTTAGTCACATTTTGACCATAATACTATATCCCCAAGTCTTTTAGACCATTTTTATTCATGTTTGGCATATACATCATAAATATAGGAATACATATTCATATCAGTTTGTTCCATAATCAGAACAAAGATGGCCGACTGGTATCCATTGTGTTTTTTGAAAAATGTTGTATCTTCGACAGGATTTGTCGGTTTTTGTTCAAATTTGGTACAACCATTATTCATGTTGGTATACATGTCCTTGGTGATTTATTTTGTGCTCGGATCTAAAATGACCAACTGGCAGCCATCTTGTTTTTTCAAAATTTATTGATTGACATTTTTTTGTCTATAAATTATACATGTCAGGACACATATCCATGACAATTAGTTTCAAAATTGGGGCAAAGATGGTTGACTGCCTGCAATCTTGCTTTTTGACCAATTTCTCTTAATTTTTTAGTTAAATTTCTGACAATATATTTCGATTTTAGAAAAGTAATTTGATACATCTAATTTCTGTTGATACTAGATCAGCCATTTATTCACTCTAAATTACTAACAAACTATGCTTTTGGTCCGTAACTTGTTTGCATGACAACATTTCTCCTAATATCAACAGGGGATATGTATTCAACAATGAATAGTATACCCTTCAACCCACCCCCCCCAACGATGTAACAACACTGTGTTTTGTAATCAAGTGTTACGTCATTGCTTATTTGGTGCGACATAAGTTAATGGCGCAGATATTATTTTATAAACATGTCACGTCTCATCTCGGCGTTTGAATATCTTGGATCGAAGGCCACATCAAAAGTGCTTCAAGCATTTTATAAAATGAACATAACAAGAATTTCGCATTATATTACCAAAAAAATGTATACTCAATTTCTTTAATTGTCCACGATGTATACTGCATTCGGTGTGTGTTTCCTGTAGTCGAGCGAAAATCAATTGTATTTATTGAACATTTCTGCTGTATGGTTTAAATATCGACTTTTATCTAGTAGACACTAACTAGTCAAGTCATACCTTCTTTTCCATATAAGAACTAAATGTAACTTATCATGTACATTGCAAGGTCAAAGTAAATACATCAATCGTCACATATACGTCATCTTATTAGTTGATCAGACCCAGAGCCGAATAAATTGTAATCTCCTCGACCGTTAAGTTTCGGTTGGAGTCAGATATAGAGTTATTTTAATGCATTGGCTAGACCACACAGTAGTCTGACCTCGATTACATACATTGTAATAAACCCATGTTACTAAAGCCTAAATCCTGCAACATCATCTGATTAACACATCATTAACAACACTGATCGATTACGGTATTAATCGGTTTTAGTGGGGGAGGAGGGGATTCATCATTTGTTTCTGTATACTAGTAAGTTGTTTATCTTATGTTCCCTAAGATATACCCCAGAGCCGTAATGCATTCGTAATATTTGCACTACGTCACGTGTATAAGTTTACGAAGTAGATACGTTTCTGGTCACTTTCCCGGCATTCACTGGGAAATCCCGCGTTATGCGTGAACTCGAACGTGGACAAACAAAGGACATAGCGTCGCGTCATTAGTGGCGTTAAAACAGTGTGTGAGATTCAACAAACACGAAAGTAGTTTTTGTTCTGGTATTTCCATACTTATTAATGTACTATTAACATTTGACAATTGTCAATTTTCTGGAGTTACAAAACCATGTTCCACTCTGAAATCTCAAGGGCATTTTGACATTATTAACTTTAAAAAAAAATCATTCGATTTTTGCATTAGTCTTTCAATCGTTCAGTCACACATTACGCGAGATCTCGCAATGTACGGGACAATGTCGTATGTGAAATCCATGCGTTCAGTGACACACGGTTGTATGCTGATGACCACTTTTACCGCGTGGTCGCCCGCGGTATAGTACACAATAGAAACGCTTTTAACACAGCCACATAGTGAGTTGTCAGACATTATCCACCGATGGGGTACCACCTGTAATAAAACCGCTCACAAAAAGTGAATGTGCTAAACTGGGTATAATTGTTTTTCTTTTTTTATTATCAATATCGCACATGAACCCCGCGCGGATACATTAAAACCTTTCCATTACCATAATGAGTTTTGAGTCACGTGGCACATCGAATCGGGTCACGTGCGCCAATGAAAGGTTTGTACGTATAATGACGTCATGCCAACATTAGACTCAAATGATACCCATACTTTGATTGCATGATGATTCTCGTGCGTAATTCCTTGGCCCAGAGACAAACTGTTAAAAATTGTCAATGCCTACTCTGATACAAGATCACTGGCAATGAATTCCTCAAATTCCCTTGGAATACTTAGATCACAAATAGAAGGAACTGAAAATAATAGAATATATTGAGGGATAATTTCCAATTGATACGCATTTTCAAACATAACAACACAATACACTTATGAATAATATTAAGTTTGTTTTCTGTTTATATAATAACTTTATTCGTATAATAAAAAAATCCTATTTAAAAACAAAAACAATGTTAAGTTAGTAACAGAGGAATCACGGGTCTGTATCTCAGCTTTCAGATGTTGTGTAGGTTGTTATAATAGCATGCTTTGTATCGTTTAGACAGGGTCAGAACCACAGATCAATATATAACTAGTTTCACTCATTGTTGCTGACTAAACAGAAAATAGATATGTCATTGAGTTAATCACTGGCACTGCATTCAATATCAATACCTTTAGAATTAACATTTTTGGGGCTAAATTCATCTTTGTTCACCTTTCACAAAATATTTTTTTGTTCATATTCGTTCCAAATTTCAATCCCTGATGCCGATAGAGAATTATATTTATTTGTAAATTAATTAATTATCAAAGGTTACAATAACAATACATAAAAACAAGCGAAATATTAATGTTGCTCCAAAATGTTGTTTGGAAAATGCCACTCAAAAAGTTAATATTATCTAAATAGTACATGGGAGTACATTAACAGAATATTTGCTTTGATAAAACATTCTATTGTCAAAGTATCTCAGATTTACTCAAAATGTATTACCCTCTTAAACCATCGCTGCAATTGTTTTTTTTTCTAGTTGAATACATGCTTTATATGTTTTTATAAGAGAATGTGGAAAAAGAGTAAATTTTATATTTTCAAAGTCAAAAACCTCTATCTACTTCCTTAATATAATAACATTCATTTTACAGCTCTCATAATACTAATTCAAAACACAGGTCAACGACATCAAACCTTTTCACTATACAACACAATTAACATATATAGCATATTCATATGTAAAAGTTACATAATAGTATATGTATAAACAGCATTTCTCTGAGTTATTTAGCATATCAATGATTGTCATACATTTCTGAATTCGTCTTTGGTAGATCTCTATCGTGCTGCATCACATTAATTTCAGTGCTCAAGTTTTAGTGAATATTGTTGTTCTTGCAAATTCCAATCAGTTATTTTGCTAGCTTGTTTAATGTTTAACTATGGAAGTCGTATGTTATAAAACTGATCATCACCTGTTTGTCTGCCAATTTTGTGTCCCCTGTGCGGAGCACGCAACGAGAGTCATTTCAGTTAGTCTGATATCTCAAGATATCTCAAGAACTACTATGATATGTTGCTTTTTGATGAAACTTGATTCATAGATGCTCTGGGAAAATTAATTTCCTAATTTGCATGATAATTATCTGTTATTATTTTTAGCTAATCCATGACTGTTCCACTGATATCTAAAGAACTACTCATTGGATGTTGATGAAACTTTGTACATAGATGTCATAGAACAATGTACATAATTGATACGTTTTGGGTTAACATACATGCATATTAATTACCTAATTTACATAATCAGTATATTTTCGGCTTTATGCTGATATTTCAAGTACTAATGATTACATTTCAATGAAACTTGGTACATATGTGGTCTACGACTATTCACAAACCTGATTAGTTTTGGGTAAAAATCGGTGCATAATAATTACCTAATTTGCAAGTACCATTCAACAGATTTTGATGACACGTGATACATAGATGCTCTAGGATAAAACGCAAACCTGATTAGTTTTGGGTTGTTTGCAGTTATATTTTTAAATGCTGTATTTGCGCTAATAAAAGAACGTTTGCTAACTTCAGGCACACGGGAGTTCTTTTTAAGTTTTCTTTGATTTCACTTTCTTATTGAAAACATTTACAATTTTCCTCACATTTATGTGGGGTTCACTATTTTGGGTTTGCCCCTTATGGAAGATAGTGGGAAAACGAGTACGAGTGTTATAATCAGTCACACTTTCAAAGGACACAAACAAAGGACAAGGTAACAAGAGTTTTAATATGTTTTATTTATTTTTTCAGATAAGAAGCTGTATGAAGCATTTAGGGAATTTGACGAAGATGGCGACGGATTCATCAGCCGCGACGAACTACGTCATGCGACTTGGCAGTTGGGATTTAAAATGACGGAAGAGGAGCTCAGTCAAATGATCGCCCAGGTGGACCAGGACGGCGATGGTAAAGTGAACTATACGGAGTTTGGGAAAATGATGAAAGGAACGCTATAGCAAAGACCACACTTTATTTACCCGCATCATCACAATTCCGGGATTATATCGACAGGGAGGATGACCCGTGAAGGCGCGGGCCCACTTGGAACAGTCTTAATGGCTTGAGGGAGAAAACAGCTCGCTCTCACCACTTTGTCGTCGTGATTGCAGCTAGTCGATAAGCCACGGTTATTTGCCGATTAATACATCCGCCGAGTTATGCCACTCACTGGCTGCTGACGTAATTTACAATGTAATGGACAGCTGGAGATTCCATTTCCTAACCACGTTTTTGTAAAGTGACTTCGACTCCAAAATGGCGGACGTCAGGTTAAAAAGCAAGGTTTACAATAACTTATAATGCTCGAGTAGCGAAATGTATTTATGATCGAGTATATCAGACTGACGTTGTGCATGATATGTATTGTAAATTGAAATATGAATAGAATATGGTCATAATAGTGTACACATTGACTAGAAAGTGCCTGTATGGTGAAATTACTCGAAGGGTATAATAATGGAACCTTTGAAGCATATCATTTCAAACTTTATATGTAAATAATAATTGCAGACGCACGTTTTTCTTTTTATATCTTTCAATTGTTGAGAACTCAATTTGTTTAGAGCAGCATTGTAAATCTACCACATATATAACGGTTATTCGACAACGAATCTGTCTAATAGATTATGATCTATAAATCTGTATCCCCTGCCTTATAATGAATGTATCCCGACATGATCCCGACATGATCGAAATTAAAAATGTGCATATATTAGTCGTCTGTCCATAAAAAACGCCAACTCAACGAAACCGGCCATGTTTATTGTGTATATATCCCGTATTTAAGACATGTTCAAATTCAAATCACGCATTCAGATGGTAGTATCTCCTAACAATATATCTGTTTGGCATTGACCTATTCACACCTCGAGCATAAATATTGCATCGAGCACACTTAGCTCATAACGAGAATTATTCTTTTCAAGTACGTAAACACGTATCCATGGATACTCTCAGACGGTGAAACTGAGAGATGCGGAAAGATAACTTCGTAGCGTATATAATGGTCGCCTTGGTGATCACATATAAACTATCTCGTGTATCATGACTGATCGTGTATGGGATGAGTTGTCTCTGAAGGGACGCCACGTTATTGTGGCCAGGAAATACCAATATGAAACCATTATTTAATAAAATTATCTTATACGATTACATGATAACAATCTTATTGGTTCTACTATTTTGTATTTCCATCGCAATAGTTTCGGGTTTGAATAACTGACACCTTTTAGACATTTATTCCTACCAATTTGAAACAGAAAATATTGGTATTAGACTCAACTGATAAATTTATACGATTGACTATAATAGACGCGTGAATATTATATATTTTTATTTTTGTTATGCACACAAATAACGAATATACGAAGGGATGTATATGAGCAGATGCATTGGAACAAAAGCATTGCAATCAAACGCCCAGCCACAGTGGCAATTAAGTATGCGTACTTGGTCACGCGAATCGCTCAATAAATGTTATTGTCGTGGAAAAAAAAGAACCATGTTTTAATTATTATATTTTGTAATAACTTATGAAAGAAAGCGAAATGTTTTATTAAAATCGATATTCACAAAGTGTAATGGCGGTTACTATGACAACAA